AACTTACATACTGTTTTCCATAGTGGCTGCACCAATTTACAATCCCACCAATAACGCATGAGGGTTCTCTTTTCTCTGCATACTTGTTACTTGTTGATTTTTAAAAATTTTTTATGATAGCCATTCTGACAAGTGTAACAAACTGCAGGAACTTTTCTGCTCCTTTTGTTTTCTCAGCCCAACCCTAGAGGAGCTAAAGGCAGCTGGTAACATTGGGGGAGGGGCACACTTGGAAATCCCTGGCACACTAGCTGATACCACACCTTTTCTTTTTGCTTAAATCACACCACCACAGACATTCTGATACACTGACCAAATTTTTGGTTTACTTGTTTTCCTCCCTCATTAGACTATGAATAATACTTCGAGGTCAAATTTAACTCTGTGTGCATCTGGGTAAACAAGCCCTTATAACTACAAAAGACTCCCAAACCAGGTGAATCTCATGCATTGGTTTACAAAAAATATGCAGCACTTCCCAAACATATTGCATCATAGAGCACTTCTTTACCAACTCAAGGAGGCATATTGAGCCTAGGTTTATCTACTGGCTTACAAAAATGCAGCAGACAAAAAGCACTTTAAATGGCACCAGGAGAATTCAATCAACTAGCCGTGTTCATACTATGAGAAATTCTACAAGATAAATGACCAGTTTCTTCAACAGCAAAGATATAACATTAACTAAAACAGAAAAGACTTAAAAGAAAAATCAGCCGAATATAATTTGTGGACCTTTTTGGATCATGACTCAAACAAATCAAATGTAAATAAACACTTTGAATTTACTGGAGTGACATTGGTTAAAAAATTATATAGGTTTCAGGTGTATAATTTTATAATACATCATCTATACATTGTATTGTTTGTTCACCACCCCAAGTGAAGCCTCCTTCCATTAAGTAGACATTTTTAAGATAAAGAAAATTGAACATGAACTGGATATTAAAAAAATTAAGCATTAAATATTTTAAAATGCAATTATTGTTAATTCTATTGGGTATGATAATGGTATTTTTGGTTATGTTTTTATCTGTTAAGAGTGTCAACCTAAATAAAGAGGTAAATGGAGGTAAAGCTCAAATTACCAAAAGTTGAGTAAATTCAGAAATAGCAGAGGAATTGCAATATGGAAAACCCATGCTGTAGCAAGCTACAGGCAAGTCCACTAAGGGCTTCGGGTGGGCTGGCTGTATGTATGGGGAAGGAGGGCAAAGGGGGGGAATCCAGGAAGAGTCGAAGCAGCAAGTTCATTGGCATGAGGATGGGGAGAGATTCTTGGTGAATGCTCATTGGTCAGGAGATAAATTTCTTTTGATGTAAACCAGGCATTTATAGAAAATCGGTTTCAGTTCTGAAATTTCATTTTCCTGGAAGTGCATGTGTGAGATTCTCCATTTCATATCATCAGTTCCATTTTAGATTAAATTTCTTTCACAAGAGATAACACTGAAATACAGCTGTCCCCCCCTTATCCACAGTTTCATACTCCGTGGTCTCAGTTATCCGTAGTCAACCATAATCCAAAAGTATTAAATGGAAAATTCCATAAAAAACCATTCATAAGTTTTAAATTGCACACTGTTCAGCGTAGCATGATGAAATCTCTTGCTATCCTGCTCCTCATGCCTGAGATGTAAATCATCCCTTTCTCTAGGGCATCCACAGCCTATGTGCTTCCCACCCATTAGTCACTTAGCAGCTGTCTAGGTTATCAGATCGGCTGTGGAGGTGTGGTAGTGCTTGTATTCGAGTAAGCCTTATTTTAATTAACAATGGCCCCGAGGCTCAGGAGTGGTGCTTAGCATGTATCTTCAGAGGCAATAGTAATCTAAGGTATGTCACCATACTCACTTCACTCACCTCGCCTCCCCTCACCTCACCTCACCTCACCTCTCCTCACCTCACTCACCTCACCTCACCTCACCTCACCTCACCTCACTCACCTCACCTCACCTCACTCACCTCACCTCACCTCACCTCACCTCACTCACCTCACCTCACCTCTCCTTGCCTCGCCTCGCCTCACCTCACTCGCCTCACCTCACCTCACCTCACCTCACCTCACCTCACCTCACCTCACCACACAGGCATTTCATCATCTCACATCATCATGGGAAGAAGAAATGTGAGTACACTACAATGAGATATTGAGAGACATTCACACAACTCCTATTAGATTATATTATTGTAACTTTTCTACTTTATTATTAGTTATTGTTAATCTCTTACTGTGCCTAATTTATAAATTAAACTTTATCATAGGTGTGTATGTATTCAAAAACATAGTATATATAGGGTTTGGTATTTTCTGTGGTTCCAGGCATCCACTGGGGGTCTTGGAATGTATTCCCACAGATAAGGGGGAGAAGCTACTGTATTTACTGGTAAAACAATAAAATGTCTGGGATTTTCTTTTAAGTATATACTAGTAGTGCTTTTTTCCTTGATAAGAGTTTTTGTTACATGCGTATATTAACTTAGTAAAAATTTGTCTTTTACACTTATGATGGGTGTACTTTTGTAAATAAGTTCTACTTCAAAAATTTTAGAAAACATTTAATTTATTGGATATTTGATTTACAGATAATACATATAGATGACTTAAAAAGTCAGTTTATATGTATGAGGCTATACAGTGAAAAGTTTGTCTTTCTCTCCCTGACCCCCCTTGCCCATTTCTTCTCTCAAAGGCATAACTATTACCAGCAATCATCTGTAGGTATTTTTACACATGTACAAACAGGTATGTGCAAGCATGTCTTGGAGATTATGCCATGTTAGTAAGTATAGGTTTTCTCTCTTTAAATAGTGACATGTTATTCAACTGTTTCCATTATCATACTTTATTTTACTAGTCACCTAGTGCTGGACGTTTAGGGGACTTAGGGATTTTGTGACTGTTTTTGCCTATAGGTCTTAGTACTCATGGTTTTTGAAATGTTAATAGATGTTTCCAAATTATCCTCCAAAATGTTTGGACTAATTTACATCCATTTCCACCCACCAGTATATATATCAGAGTTTACAATATATTGATGTATAATAGTAATGCCCTCAAGAAGGAGATATTTTCAAAATAAATTGTCCTTTGATTATAACAGTTATTATTCAAATAGCTTAAACAAAGAAGGCATGGTTTGTTTGTGTAACATTAGTACTGAGAAATGTCAACTCAAAATACTTCCAGAGTGAAAGGTTTTTCCTTCTAAATGGTATGGTAAATAAACATAAATTTTGGGAAAATAAAAGCAGTAAGAAAACTTTGAATTATCCTTATTTAACCATAAGTCTAATGGGATAAACTTAAAATTTTGAAGGACTGGATTTTAATTTTTATGTTCTTTTCTCTGTGATCCTATCCTCAGCACCTGCTTTCTCCTCTGGTAGATCTTGCTGTTTATTTAAAAAAAAAAAAAAAGCATATAAACTACAAGGGCAGGATTTTTCTTGTTGACAGTGAAACCTATGTGTGGTTCAGGCTCAGTGTTCAAGTGCTGAGCAAAGCCAGCAGCTGAAAGGGCAATTCTAGTATCATGTTCGTTTGGGGTCATTCTAGGAAAAACATTAGAGCAAAGGTGACTCCCCTTGTGGGGGAGTAGGTGACAGAACAGGGGAAGATTTATAACCTTTAGTTGGTCATGGAGTCCTTTAATGAGGATTCTATACTCCCCCTCAGAAAAGTGCACACACCCAATTTACACAATATTGTGCTCACAATTTATAGGAAAGGAAACATTTTCCCTTCTTCCTTTCTAGGCTCTTTGGCTGGTCTAATAATTAAATTGACATAAGACAAATTAAGAGGAGTAAAAACAAATTTAATTTTGTATGTATGGGGCCCCCATAAAAATATGAGACACAAAGACGTGAACTAGGCAGGAAGTGTTTAAATTTTTTAAAAAGGAAACAATAAATTTGTGAAGAATTGACAAGGCAAAGGGGTTCGGACTCAGGGCAGTAAGTTAGTGAAGTAAGAGCATTTGTTCATACAGCCTTCTCAGCCCCAGGTTCCCTGCTCTGGTGGTAAGGATGCCTTCCACCCTCCCGGTGCAGAGAGGGCACCTTTCGCACAGGAGACTTACCTCCTACTTTCAGGGGAACAAAGGAGGTCAGAGCGTCCTTCCTGAACAGGCTGTTTCCCAAGTAACTTTAATTCAAAATAATTAATATACTAAAGTGGCATATTTTGGGGTGGCATATTCTGCTCCCCTCCAAATTTAGGGGCTTTATAGGCCCCTAAATCCCTTGGCCTGGAGGACTAACCCCAGAAAGGACCTGGGATATACAAAGTCTTTGGCCAGAACTTGTATAAAGAATATCTAATATTTACTGAGACTTTGCATGTAATAAGTTATTTAGTTGGTACTTTTATTATCCCATTTGATGAGTAAAGAAACTGAGGCAGAGAGCCATAAAGTAACTTCTCAGGAAATGGAGAAACCAGAATATAAAATCAGATATTGTGGCTCCAGAGTCTGAATTAATAATTTCTTTAATAAACATGTCATAGAATGTTGATGCCCATCAGTCCAAAGACTTCTAGGAGCATATTTGTAGTCCAATCAATTTGGATTTGGTGGCCCACTGCAATGAGAGAGCCAGCACACCACAAGGGACCACAGGGACCTCTCACTATAAGGATGTTAAAAGGGACTTCTAGCTTCTATTAGGTGATTTGGGGAGGGTTTGATACAGTAGGAATTTGTGCAAGGTTGGAAGTAGGAGTAATCCTGTGATTGGGTTTCTTTATGAATCTTCCTTAGGAGGTGGGAAGAATAGATTAGAGCTAAAGTTGTAATAATAAAGCAACAGCAGTCCCTTATACTAGCCAGAAAAGGGGGATATTTGGTCACTTTTGTGGTTTGGACAATGCTCTTGTTTTAGTCTGTGCTCAGACATAATTATTAAATTGCCTTGTGTTTATCTTGCTCTCTCAGATCACAGAGTAACTGACTGATGTTAATGTTTTGTGATTTTTTTTTTTTTTTCATGTTAACAGAATACCCTGGTCGCCTGTGAGAGTGTCAGGCCAGCTCCTGGCTGCTTTTCTCTTTTTCAAAAGGTAAGACTTACAAGGTTGAAAATTATAGAAAACCCAAACCAAATTGACTCAAGCAAAAAGGTAAGTCCAAGGCTCCATTCTCTTTATATTGTGTGTATTATATTTTTATAGATGAGATGATTGAGGCTCAGAGTGATTAAGTAGCCAAGGTAGAATCTGAAGCACTACTATTAGTTTGATTCCATGGCCTCTTTTTGTTCTACTCCTTCAAGACATTAAAGTATGAGTGAGCAGAAGGACATGGAGCTGTGGACAGGAATGGAAGGGAATGGGGAACAGCGAAGAAAAGGGTTGGAAGGTAGAGTGGATGGGGTGAGAGAAATGAAGATGCGTGTTTTGGGGCAGAAAAATAAAATGATGAAGGTCATGGTTTAGGAAGGTCATGGTTTAGGAAATATAGTCTGAAAGTAAAGCACAGAATGTAATAGTTGGAAGAGAATGAAAGCTGAGAAATTAGCATGAGAGGTGGGGGGTAAGGGGGGCAGTGATTAGCAAAGAGACTTCAAGAGTTTCCCAGGCAAATGGAATTGAGGGGAGGGTTTGGTCTGAGAGGAAGCAATGTGGAGCCAAGACACCTTGATTTCATTTATTTCGTTTAGCAAATATTTATTAAGGGGTTCCCATGAACCAAATATTGTACTCAGGGCTAGGACTACAGTGGTAACAAGACAGACCCAGGACCTGCCCTCAAAGAGCTTACGGAAGCACCCAGGGAATTGATGATGGAGTAGAGAGAGGGAAGAAGGAAAACAATTTGAACAGGGAAGTCAGATTCTCAGAAGTGAAGACAATTCTTATTTCTGATTTGATGTTGTTGAGTTTGAGTTTCTCCTGCTGTATATCCTTAGATGAAAGTTTAACATAAAAGAAAGGGAGGGTTGGGACACTATGATGCCAACGGGAGAATTGTGATTTCTTACATGTCAGAGTCTCTACATCACATGTTAGAGCATCACTTCCCTTCAATGGGGCTTGGTTTCTTCAAATGCTAAATTGTGGGCTGTCTTACAGTCCACGGGGCCTAACCTGGGCTGCACAGTGGAATCAGAGTGGGGAGCTTCTACACAATACCGGAGCCCAGGCCCCACCCCAGACCAGTTAAACAAGAATTTCTGTTGCTGGGCCCAGATGGTGTATTTCTTAACTTTCCAAGGTGATTCTAATTCTCAGCCAGGGTAGAAAATCACTGGTTTAGATCATCTCTAATGCCCTTTCCACCTCTGGAGACGCCATGATTCTCAAGGGCAGATCATGAAAGACTCTTAAAGTTACATTTATAGGTGAATAGGGGATAGGGTAGGAATGAGCTTAGGATGCTGGTGAAATATATATATTTCATGGTCCAAATCTAAGGAAAGAGTAGATCTTACAAAAACTATGGCTAAGTACCTTTGGGTCCTATCTGGCTCCAAAAAAAGGAAAGGCACAGAAAAGCATCCAGTGGTGTGTATGTGTGTCAGGAGGCGGGGGGGGTCTATCCACACTTTACAGTTTTACTAACACTCTTGCTAACACTCGTGGACATATTCCTAGCTCCATGAGGGACTGCAATTGGATATTCTTTCCATTAGATGGAGCTATATCTTTGTTATAGGAGAGTTTTATGAATTTTATAAAAGGAATGCTTTATAGATGATGAATTTTAAGGTGGAACAGGGAAGAACTGCAAATTAAAATTGTTTTTTAGAGTAGTCCTGTTATTTCTAACTTTTGAAATATCTTGAATTGTTAGTATGGGTGTCCTTTCACACACCTTATACACTGTTGATACAAAGCATATTTAATAAAACTTAGTGTTGTTTTTCTTTTTTGGTGACTCTTTTTAAAAAGACCAAACCAAACTGTATTCCTAGAAGAGTAGCTATTAATAGTATTTCAATTAGGATATTTCTAGATACATGTTCACAATCACTCGTTTGCAACTCTGAAATCCAAAAAGCCAGATTTTGCAAGTGAAAAACCAGGAAACTCAGTTAAATTTGAATCCCAGATAAACACTGAATAACTTTTGTAGTATAAATGTATTCCATGCAATATTTGGGACATATACTAAAAAGTATTTGTTGTTTACCTGAAATTCAAGTTTCATTCAGCATTCTGTATTTTATCTTGCAAACCATTCTGAAAACCAAAGATGTTTGTAACTTATTTGACGGGAAAATGTAACCTGAATTGAAGTGAGGCTATGTATAGGCTTTACCCCATGGAGTGGGAGTATTTGTCTGTATCACTGCAGAAATATTAATGTATTTGATTATGGATACTGCCCTGACTCCACTGGGGTATTATATAGTATATCATATTTATACCATATTATCTTTTTAAAATAAAAAAGTACTAAATTCCAAAATATGGTTGTCTCCAAGACTTTTAGGGAAGAAATTATGAACCTGTGATGAGCTTTTTTAGTAAGCAGGAAAAATAAGTACGCAAATCTTCATCTGAAGGCACCATAAAAATTTTTTTTTAATCCAGAATTAGTTCATTACAGGTAATAGGACTGAAAATAAACATTCTAATTTCTTTTTGAAAAGGGTGTCTTGGCTTTCTGCTGTTTTAAAAACATCAGAAAAGTAATAATAGAGGACAGGGCACCTACAGTTCAAACTGAAAAAACAATGGGTAAATCATTTAGTCATCCCCAGCCAGAACCAAATCACCCGAGACTGTGAACAGGAGGCAGCATCTTCCCTGTCCTTCAAACAAACACACTTTGTGGAGGGAAACCATCTAACTTCCTTGGCATTATATTCCAGAATGTTGTCACTTTGCTACTTAGGAAAGGCTTTCTGATTTGCCTTAAATCTGTCTGCTTTAGGTAGATATTTAAGAGAGTCAATGTTAATGACCATGAAAAGAACTGCTTATCAACATTTTCACAAATATAGCTTTCCTTTATTAAATATCTATTAATTTTTCTTCTCAGATTTCTCATCCCAGCTTAAACAATCTCAATTCCCTTCACAAGTTTTCCACTGTAACCATTTACCAAACTTTATTATTATTATAAACCAGCTAGCCTTAATCTTGTATGCACTGGTGAATTAAAGGCTTGTGCGGGGGTGGGGGTCAGCTCTGATTTGGATGTTTGTGGAAGTGTGATGAAGATGTGTAATGTGAGACCTTTTTTCTGTTTCCCCTTTGAAATCCGTAGTGAAGTCAAGTTTAGACAAGTCTCTGAATGCTGGGAATTAATGTGTTTCTTGTGTAAAACAGGGCAGGGGCCTAATTAATTACCCACTGGTGTTTGGCAAAGACAGAATCGGCTGGTAAGAATGAGTGACAGCCTGTATCCTCATTGTAAAGGAAAACAGTGCACTGCCTGGCAGTCCTGGGGGTCCAGAAACCACTCTGCTCTCATCGCCTGAGAGGTGTTCTGTCATAGGGAACAACAGTGGACATTTATGGTGTTTGCACGGAGCTGTGTCTGCAGAGGCCTGTGGCCCAGCAATTAGACACTGAAGTAGCTGGCAATTAGCAGTATAATTAAGACATTGTTTCTTAAAGTCTGAGGCTTGGACAATTGGAGACAGAAAGACTAGGAATTCAGCACAATATAAGGAAATGAAATGTCTGAGTGAGTATTCAGGCTAGCACATGATACGGTTGCTCCATCAAGGGGCACGAAGGTAGCGGTGGGTGACAAGGAACTGGGCTAAGAATACAGGACTCGGGACGGAACCTAGGCTTCCCTGATGACTTCTCTAATCATTTCTGAGTCAGTTTCTTCTGCATTCTCAAGAGAACGGTTTTGGGGGACAACACAGGGCTTTTGGTATACTATTTACATGGTATTGTTTTTGTTTTGCCTTTGGGCTTTGTTTAAATGTTTATTAACATTATCGTAAATCATTTCTTGGTGTGGAATTGGTTCTTCTTAATTAAACTTTTAATAAAATTCTTAGAAAAGATATTTTGGTACCTAACCTAGATGGATACAAGATTCCATTTATGGCTATGTTTCCTAGCCTAGAGTAGGTAAGCGGCCATCCTTACCGAAGCCTGTCTCAACTGAATTTGTTTCTTTGTCCTTGAGCCATGCACTATGAGCTGCACCTGTGTGTGCGCAGCAACCCAGGATATTTTTTCAATATCCTTCCCCCAAATTATGAAAGTAATAAACACTATAAAAATAATCACTAGAAAAACAATATAAAATAGGAAAGCATCAAGAAGAAAATGAAAATCATACTTAATCCCACCACCCAGAAATAAGCATTTTATGGACTACACTGTTTAGTTTTGAGTTTTGGAAATGAAATTGATGAGCTCTGTAAAGAACAACCCTAGAAATCAAAGATTTTCCCTTACCCAAGATGGATATAGAATATGAGTCCTTTAAAAATTCTTGAAATTTGTTGGAGAAATCTTTAGGGTTCCCCCCCCCCCAATTATTCCTTAAGTACCCTGGGATTCAAGAATTTGGAACTGCAGAAAGGAACATTTGATTTATTAAAATAATCTTTAGCTAATTACTTCCTTGCTCACTTTGTTTAACTATCAAGCTAGAGATGTATTTATTGCTCTATGTATTTTATTATGGCTGATGCGTGAAGAAGTTGGAAGAAGTGTCCATTCTTTCCCTATTATCATGAACAAAGGGGCCTCTTTCCTCCTTTGACTATTATATACCTTTGAATGCAAATGCACTGTTTATGAAAGTGCCCCTTAACCTCTTTACATGTTTTCTGCATTCTATGCATTGCTTTTCTGATTTTACTCTGAGAAATAAAATGGAAATGAATAAAGAATCTGCTTTTAAATAATTAGGACTTGATATATTGAGCCATCTCACAGGGTAGTCAGTGAAAAATTATTGAATTCTATGGGCAAAGTCACAAAGCACTAAGCCTGCTAAGGAAACCGTATTCAGGTCAATGTTAGGGTGTTTGACGCAACATTTTGATGATGCAGAGGCCTTGCCTAGAAAGATAAGGTTCAATTGCAGCAATGTTCTCTGGGGTTGTGTTTAACCCCCTCCAGGAGGAAGGGGAAGATGT